CCTGCTGAAGCCAGTTGGAGTCTGTAGAGAATAGTGGAGACCTTGGGAACATTAGAATCAATCCAGTGGTTGTACTCGTGGGGGTTGTGCAGAGCTCCTGAAGCTCCCAACCCAAAGCTTTTGGAAGGGACTATGCCAACGTTCTGAGGCAGGCAGCACCTGGTAGAGTTAACACCAAATGTTCCGGGTCGGGGTCTGCACATTCAACAGCAGTAGCCTTCCTTTCTGGAGTGGAGACGCTACAAACTTACTTCCAGCCCCTGCTGTCTATCTCTGCTCTTAAAACATCACGGCCAAGAACCAGCCACACTTTCGCGCTCTCACTTTCCAATTCCCCTCTTTTATCGCGGTCTCCTATCCTGGCTGTTCCTCTGTCCATTCCTTTTACTCTCCTTTTCCCATCTGCCTCCCTGCCTTTCCCCCTCCCCCTAACTTGCGCTCTCTGCACTTTGTGAACTGCTGCTGCAAGGCTGAAGTCCAAAGTTCAGTAACTTGCTAAGCACACGGATAAATATGAACCTTGGAGAATTTACATTGCTCCAATGTAAACAGATAGCCAAGGGTCCCTTTATCAGCACTGGCTCAGGACAGTCGTGGGGGGTCTGAAGCGGCTCATTTTTGTATTTTGTTTTTTTGGGGGGTGTAAAGGCGGGAGGCTATGCCATTCCACTCCGCTGACAGTCAGGCGTGCTACCTCAGGAATATGGTGTTGGGATAGCCGGAGGCAGAACGAGTTGAAACTCAAATTCAAGAGGCATCAGACTGAAGACCATGGTTGCAAAACTGAGCCATCTTCAGGTGGAGTTGCTGGGAGCACTGCTGGAGTCAGGACTTACCAAGGAGACTCTGATCAAAGCACTGGGTGAAGTAGATCCCTATCCGCTCCAGAGTGAAAGCCAGCGCGCCATCAGTGCCATTCAGGGAGAAAAAGGAGAACCCAGTGCTGAAATTCCCAATCTCCCTAATGGGATGGGGGAGTCCAGGTTATCTGAGGAGGAAACCTCTGATGATGGGGAGGAATTCACTCCTCCGATAATGAAGGAGCTGGAAAACTTAAGTCCAGAAGAGGCTGCTCACCAGAAGGCTGTGGTGGAGAGACTATTACAGTAAGGACACCATTTTTCTTCTCTTCCTCTCTCCCTCCATTTCTGTTTTCCTCACTTCTTCCATGCAGTATATTAGCATTCAGGGTTGATCGGGGTGTGCAGAGATTGTCCCTATCACTGCCAAAACTTACCTACCAAGTTCACCGTCCTTTATTGATGTTCAAACTTTTCTTCTGATCTAATTTCAAACACAGGACCAAAACCCAGTTACAAATGAAAAGTTCTAATACTGTCGGGGAAAAAAGGACTTCAGAACAATCAGAGACCTGTAGAGCTTCTGCTTCTTTGGCTATGAGATTTTATAGAATTCACAGTGTCTGCCACCAAGAAAAAAAACAGGACAAGCCCACACAAATCTAGACAATGCATGAATTGCCATCACAATAGTCTGAGAATCTGCACTGCAGGAGGAGAAACCTTCTAAGTTTTTCCTGAGATTTTTACAAAGTTGTACATATTTTTCTTTACTGACTTTGCTACAGTCAGGTTTGCCAACAAAGACAAACCAATAGGGCTTGATCCGGGTGTCTTTGTGCAGACCATATGTCCCCTGACTTCAATGGGGATTTGGGTGTAGATGGAGGGCAGACCAGCTACACTCTAATAGTTGTCAGCCCTGGTAAGCATGCTCAATGTCTCCATTTCCCAACATGTATACTAAATATACACAGGGATGCCATCTACAAGCTCTACTGTTGCACAAACTTGCCTTAATATGCCATCATATTAGGCAAAAAGTATGAGGAATTCTCTCTATCAATCTACCTAACATCAAGAAACTCAACCACAAAACCTCACATTCTGAGGTTAGGGTCAGGCAGGAGACACTGGGTAGCTGCAAGGTCCCAGAGACTCAATTTGCCATTTAGAATCTTTCTGAGGCAAGCTAAAATCAGTCTGGAGGGCTGAGAGGCTTTTTGTCCATTCCTCTCTATGGGAAAAGGAAATACAATTCAAAATGCAACAATGAAAAACAAACACAAAACCCCAGCAAAAGCCCATAGGTAGCAAAACAGAAGAGTAAGAGTAAGGATTAATATTTAAGAGGGCATACGTTCATTGCTTGAGCTCTAGAGAGTCTGGGAAGATTTAGAGCAGATCACATTAAAGTGCCTGATGGAAAAAAAATTGGAACAGCTCTTACCTGGAGAGGAAAATGTTCCACACAATTAAATCTTCTTGCCTACCCAAGGAGCCTCTCACCTTCCTCTGCCACTACTTTTCATACCCCTCCTTCTTTGTTACAAGCCTCAGCTGTTTCCATCTTCCCTGTCCTACTCCTCTCTCTTCTTTCCTTCTTTTGCTCTCTCTCATCCCCACTTCTCTCTGTCTAGCCCCACTGTTTCTGTGTCTGCCTATCCAGCTCTTTCTGTTCCACACATCTTGCTCACTCCGTCTCACCCCTGCCTCCTTCTTCCCGAGTATGCGTAGAGATCTTGGGGCAGTTTGAGCTCCAGTTGCACCGGGCGGGCCCTGACTAGTTACTAATTATCCAGTGCCTTTATTATTTCTCTTTTGTCTTATAAATTTATAAACAAAAAGACCCTGATAAGCTTTTTGATCATTAACTTCTGATGATTTATCAGGTGTCTCTCCAGAAAGGAAGCCATGGAAGAGTACTTGGCTTTGTCTTCTCTCTCTCTAATAAATGGATGAAGCAGGGGTGGGACTCTGTCCACTGTGCTCTGGTATAGAGAATCTTGCACCTGGAAGGAATTCCTGCCCTTGATCTGGGAACTGATCATGGTTCACCTTGGCATAAACTCTGGTTTCTGATCTCTTCCATTTTGTTGTCAATTCCAGCAGGCCGCTTATTCCTATGCTATGCATTTATAATGATGCTCTTCACTTCTTAAGTACTTTCCAACTCAGGATTTCAAGCTCTTTGTAGACCATGATTTGAATGGCATTCCCATTTTACAGGTGAGGACACTGAGGCACAGAAAAGCAAAGTGACATGCCCAAGGCCATGTTGAAAATTAGTAGCAGGATTAAGAACAGAACCAGGATCTCCTGGAGCCTCATTCTGTTTGTGTCTTACCACTGATCTCCTCACAAAAACTCAGCAAAAATAAATTTTCCTTAGCCATAAATGTTGTAAGAAAGAGGTCAAAATTATATTTCTATCATGCATTCAGGACTGCATTAAAGCAATGCTTAGGACCCAGACTACAAAAAAGGCAGGTAGGGTCTTCATGGAACATATTAAACCAAAGCCACTAGAAGTATCTCTGAAATGAGGTAATGGAGAGATTGTTCTGATAGGAAATGTGATCTCTGTCTTTGTGTTCAATGTTTTAAAAAACAATTGTTTTCTTGGGGAAGCAAATTCAATGCACCTGGGTCAATATCAGGGACTGACAGTGGGGAAGCAGCAGACAACAATAACCCCCCCCCACCTCCTCTTTAGCAAAGGAACTATTTTGTGATAGAAGATAACCTAAGGAGGTTGTCCTTAGAATACCATTATATACAATTACACCTAGAGCAAAATGGTATATTACAGAAATTCCTTTCTACGAGCTGGGACATCACTCAATACAGTTGTTTGTTTGTTTGTTTTTGTTTTGTTTTTTTTTTTGGGGGGGGGGGGTGTTTCCCTTCCAAAATCATGGTGGTAGGATTCTGTTTTGTTCAAATCCAGCGACCAAAGCGAGCACTCCAAAGTGCAAATTCCACCTTGTGCCATACCAGCAATTCTGGGACTAACACAGTCAGCAACTTTATAATACAGAAATTGTCTCATGAACATCTTTTGTAACTATGGTCACAACCACTTCCTTTAAGATCTGTAACAATTGGTTACATGGAAAGACAACCTTGGGTTCATTATTCTACACTTTTGATACACTTTAGAAGCTGGAAACAAGAAGAGACCACAGCATGTGACCAAACATTTCTTTGTAGACCTTTAATATGTACTCTGTGAACCACTTAGTGGTTCCCAGACTGTCAATGTAGATCACTGATTATGCTCAGTAAATACAGGATATAGGTAAATCATATAGATTGCCCTCACTCCCTTAAAACAGCCTTAAGTGCACTCAGTGGAGTCCGTTTCATGTTGTCCCTACAGAATATACTGATCACGCACAAAAGGAGGTGTCATTAGTAAGAAATTAAGAGTCTCCCTTCCCCTCCCCCATACTGTGAAGCCCAAAGAGAAGAGATAAGGAATAGGATTTAGATGGAGGAGTCTCATTGATTTTATCCATGGGACTTGCAAACCTTAGCACTTTTGGGCTTTTGAAAATTCCTCCCAGGGGCCCTCCAGAACGGAACAGGACTGGGGTGTGTTAAGGAGTAAAGTAATTCCTGGGGGCACTTATCAGATATTTCAGGGGGAAATGAGAGAATACAGACTGGCTTTGGGAGCATAACAAGGAAAAAAGCAGACTTCCACAGCAGAGGGGTTTACTGCCAACGTATGATAAGGAGTGCGGGGTCAGGGCAAGGGCTGCTCTACTCTGGAAGGAGGCATAGGAATCATTTGCCAAGAAAACAAAGGGTAAAATTCCATTGGGAAAGCAGGAAATGGAGACTGCAAGCACATTTCCACCAAAGCCAAGGGTGACGGCACATTTTCTAAAGGGGCATTGTCCAAGAGCTAATGGCCCTGCCCTTCCCCCAGACAGCTACTTGCTGGGGGCAGCCATAGCTGAGGGTCCAGAGATGAAGCTACCACACCCTTCCATTTAATTATATGGTTGTATAAGCCAGAATGAGTCAAACCAGGCCACATTCAACAGAAAAGAACCCTGCTGGGGACAGTCTTACCTTCCCTGTTCTCTGGCCATCCCAGGTCCAGTCTGTGCATTGACATCAGTGATAGGTTTCTAGTAGCCTCCAAAGGAAAGCGCCAGAGAGATTGCCCCAAGCATTTCAAACCTCTAAACACACCTTTAGCTAAGTCCCAGCTCAAAGAAGGAGAAGGTCAAAACCTAACTCCAAGAACTTAGGGCGTTTTCTGCCAATAAAGGGAATCTGGAAAAAAAAAAGCGAAACAAAACACATTGCCCTGGGAGATGGTAGAGAACAGGGGAAGGAAGGAATGGAAAGAAAACAACCTGGAAAACGAGGAGGAGAGAGATGAGAAGGAAAAGAATAGAGAGAGTTTGGGAAGAAAACCCAGGAAGAACAAAGAGAGAAGGTCCCCTGAATGTTACATCCCCAGCTCTCTGGAATGGGTTTTCTTTAATGCTAACAACTTGATATTTACTTTCCATTTAAATTTGAGATGTTGCTATAAATTATCAACCAGCCTCTTGTTCCCTTTGAGTTTATAACTAACTACCTGGGTTACTTATTGTTCAGGTAACAAAAGGGAGGTGAAAACGCCCTTTAAAAGTGACCTCAGAACTGAGGAAATGGGAAGCTGGAATGGAGACCAGGCCTAGGCCCCAGATACCAAGAGGGGCAAGGGAGTGTGTGTTCAGAGGATATGGAGAAGCCAAAGGCAGGAGACCAGAACATAGGAAATGAAGAGTGAGTGAAAGTCTATATTATGTGAGGACAAGAAGAATATGGAGGAAGAGGCTGTAGAATGGGAAAGAAATAGGTGACATTTTGTACTTGGAAAGAAGAGAAGTCGAAGACAAAGAGGGACTTTGGAAGTGAGAAGTGGTCAGGAACTGAGCAAGGCCAGCCCAATTTTACAGTCCCAGCTCCCTAAAGGCATTGGGACCTTTGCCAAATCAGTTCAGCAAGATAAGGCTGGGTGTGGAATCCTACCCTCCTGCTAGAGACCACAGGAGTTTTGACACTGACTACAGTGGGGCAAGGATTGAATAGGAACAGAAGACTGGAAAGGACCTTTTGGGACATGAAGTCTGTTCACAGGCAAATATTTATCCAGACAGTCCTAGAAACCATCATGCTATAGTATTTTGGTCAATGGTTCTGCAGGTGGTGCTGTGATGTCCAGTGAATATTCAACTGCCCTAGAAACACAGCCTGCTCTACTATATAGGATCATAATGCCCATCTAACACTGCAATTACAGTCTTTGTTACAGGAACACAGTCAAGGCTTCATTCATACTTCACCACCCTTTACCACATGTTAGGTTACCCAGGCTGTAAAGAGATTCCCCAATGCAGGTGTATTTGAAGAGCAGACACACCTTCAAAAAGACTCTCAACACTGGCAGTGCATAGTGCTTGAAACTATACAGTAGAGTTTTAAAACAGGATTAGAGGATCAGGCTCACAAGTACCTCCACCTTTCTTCCTACCATATAGCACTAAATATCCTAGCGAGAGAGAGAGAGAGAGAACTTGGCATCTTACAGCTGGAAGATGAGAAGGAAGTCAATTTCTTACAGAGGTTTCTATGGGTGATAATAAGGTCCCCTCTTCTTCTCTAGCTGAATCAGAAGCATACTTTGAAAGAAGCCACAAGTCTCAAGCCTGAGTATCTTCTCATTCAGGACCCTGAGCCTCTGAGTAGGGGCTGGGTATGCATTTAGAGAAGGCAAGTATCAGAGCACAGTTGCTGGATAGGTTCACTGAAACAAGCAGTACCTAAAGGGAGATTAATTCTTGTCTCAGGAACTGATACACCACTTGCTTAAAGCTCAGAAAGGAAATAGCTATTGGAGTCAGTCCAATCTGGGGCACAGGGAAGATGGTGAAAAGTGGAACACCCTAATACAGCTCTCACCTACCCTTTATGAAAGGGATGAGTGGTCCCATTTTAAAATAAACTTTTTCAGAAAGTTGCCCATCAGCCTCCCACTGCACCAACTGCAGCTGAGCTTGCTCCTTGGACTGTCCACCTGTTGTGGAAGAGGGTAAAGCAGGAACAGAGATAAGGGTGTTTGTACTGAGGCAACAGATTTGGACTTTGTCCTCTTTATCACTTTGCAGCCTCTGGCAACCCACTGAGTCAACAAGGCAGCTAGAGCTGTGCTGCTGCCCAGCCTTCAGACCTGAGCTCTCCTGCATCATCTTCTCCAGAGCTATTAACAATACTTTGTAAAATGTTTAAGCAAGCACATAATTTAGTTTTGAGACTGGGTCAAAGCAGTACAGTGTCCGAATGCAAAGGTGCCATTATCCAGCACAGCAAATCTGTCCAACTTGGGGTAAGGAGAAGATTAATTGTTCTCACTGCTTCTGGTGTCCACTCTTCTTGTAAGAAGCAGAGATAAGTCCTGGCTGATATTCTTGAATCCTTTCTGCTGAGCCTGGATACACAGCCAAAAGATTTTTTCTGAGATGCATTTTCTCTTCTTCCTAGAGAGGATCCCTGGAGGGTAGCAAAGATGGTGAAATCCTACCTCCAGCAGCATAACATTCCTCAGAGGGAGGTGGTAGACACCACAGGTTTGAACCAGTCCCACCTCTCACAGCACCTCAACAAGGGCACACCCATGAAGACACAGAAGAGAGCAGCCCTCTACACCTGGTATGTCCGCAAGCAGCGAGAGGTGGCCCAGCGTAAGTACAGCAATAACAGGTTTCTCTAAGTTTTGTCTCATACATCTCCCACAACTATCCCCAGCTCTGAGGTGGAAGGAGTGCTTTCCAGCAGGAAGTTTAGACAAGTCCATGTCAGTGTTCAGTGGGGTGACCAATTGAGTGGTGGCAGAAACCCCCAAAACAGCATGCAGCCACCCTATGCTTTTCATACAGAGACAGATTATAGGCTTCCACTTGCAACTCTACTTCTTTCTCCAAGCAGAGGCCTCTGCTCGCTCACAATGGAGTATTGTGTAAGAAACACAGGCAGCAGTTGGGAATGAGTAGTGACAGAATCCAGGACCTTCAGCCTCAAAAGCAGGCCTCTGAAATTTAATCTAATTAAATAATTCCTCTAGCTACAAGTAAGCAATAGACTGCTGTAGTCACTGGAGCCAGCCATTAGTGGAATATCATCTCACACATGCTAAGCAGGTATATTACAAATGCATGCTTGGAACTAAGGATTTTGCAGCTTGCACTTCCATATTAATGAGCCTACCTGGAATCTGTTTCAATCATATTTATGGGTCCCTAATAAAATTGCTAATTTGACTGATGGCTGGTCTTAGAGGGCTGCACTCTACATCAGCTGGATTCAGTCCAAGCTCCTGCTGTTTTGATTTCTTTCACTGCTTCATGTTAGGAATACAGATGCAATGTGTCTAACATCAGGGCCAAGTATATATGGCTCCACTGGGGATTACCAGATCCATTTTAATAAATTACAGAGCAGTCTTGTCTAGATTCTGCTCTGGTTTTTGTTCCATATTAGCAGACGTGGACCAAAGACAGACCAGCTGGGTTCCAGGTGAGAGAATGTTACAGAAAAAACTACCAACCTAAAAAGCCTTTTGCCCATTTGTGCTTCCAGAGTTCACACATGCTGGTCAGGGCATCCTGGCAGAGGAACCCATGGGAGATGACCTGCCTACCAAGAAGGGGAGAAGAAACCGCTTTAAGTGGGGTCCTGCCTCACAGCAGATCCTATTCCAAGCCTATGAGAGACAGAAGAATCCCAGCAAAGAAGAGAGAGAGGCACTGGTAGAGGAATGCAACAGGTAAAGCCAGGCTCTAGTTTTGAGGGAGAAGGGGAAAGAGAAGGAAGGAAATAGTCTTCTGTGCATTTCCATCATACAGCACAAGGCTGCGTTCACTTTGAGTAACACTCGCTAACTGGAAGCAGGGAATTAAACTTGCACCGTTCTTCCTTTGAGATTAATTTTGCAGAAAACAGTGTAGGGAAGCACTTGCACAGGAACCCAGTCATAACCCACAGATGCCCTTACAGCAGGGGCATTCAACATATGGCTGCTGTATCCGGCCCATGGGTAGTCTAGTGAGCTATGGCTGTGCACCCTCAGCTCCGTGCTGTTGCATGCCCCTGGCACTGCCGACTGACCAGAGTTCCATGCTGCTGGCAGCAGCACAGAGCTGGGGGTGTGTGACTCCATGCAGCTGCACACCCTCAGATCCAGACTGCTACTTGGCCTGGACCCACACTGCCACCTAAACTTGGACCCATGGATCTGGCCCCAGAGGAACCCGTGTGGTCTGAATCTGGTCCAGGGTGAGTTTGATATCTCTGCCTTACAGTAACAGGCCAACTGGCTAGAGCCAGACACTGAATGAACTTCCACCACTGAGCTTTTAGCCTATGTGATTCCAATGTGGGGGCTCAGCAAGCCCTGTATCCAATAGAAGTAGCCCTTTGTTCTTCTCCTTCAGCACTATGCCCCCACCCCCCCCCCCCCATGCACAGCAGTCCATATACAATTATGAACCCTCCACATTTGGTCAACCTGTTCTTTATCAGTTTGCCTTCCACCCCCCAAGAGCATCATCCTGGGCCTGGGCGAGGAAGTGGAATAGAGAACCAGTGTGGTGACAGGGGACACAAAACTGAATGACTTGTTTCAGGAGTCTGCCCAGACATCTCAGTCATCGTGCTCCATGTCTTTGGCTTTGACTAGATCAGTGGTTTCCAACCTTTTTTGCTGTGACCTGCTGCGGGGAGCAGAGTGCGGTGGTGATGCCAACCCTAGGACGGGGGTGGGGAAGCTCCCAACACGTGCCACGGCTTGTCCTTTCTGTGCGGCACCACTGGCATTGCCCCTGCGACCCTCATTTGGGTCTCAACCTAAGGTTGGGACCTGCTGGACTAGATCACCAAGGCTCCTTTCTGTGCTCTTCCTTGATAGGGCAGAATGTATTCAGCGGGGTGTCTCCCCATCCCAGGCCCAAGGGCTGGGTTCAAACTTGGTAACTGAGGTGAGAGTTTACAACTGGTTTGCCAACCGGAGGAAGGAGGAGGCCTTTCGACACAAGCTGGCCATGGATACCTACAGCACGCCACAGCCCAACTCTGCACCCTCACTGACATCACACAGCTCTTCCTCCCTTCAGCCACCACCTGCTCTCTCACCCAGTAAAGTTCATGGTGAGTAATAACCCTACAGAGGGAGTGATGAAACAGCGATTGCTGAGCCTGACAAATGCAGGCACAAAAGCAACTCCCTAGTGCCTCTCTTTGGAAGGTGATCAGTATTGTAGGAGGACCAAAACAGTAAGTGGGATAACATAGGATAGGGGTGCAGGTGACAAAAGCATGGACACCCAATGAGGGAAGAAGGGGAAAATCAGATTTATGAGTGCGTTAGGAGGAGTTCAGTGTTGAGAGGATGCCTTTTAGTCAGTTTGAGAGAGGCTACTAAGTGATTTCCTTGACAACAGCATGGGGAAAGCCTAGCACTAAAAGACTGAGACAGAATCACACCTATCCTTTTGAGAGGTAGTGGTCTCTCCTCAAGGAAGAAATCTTCAGTCTACTGGTGAACAGGATCACTAAGGATTGAGTGAAAATGGAAAATTAAATAATCTCTCCATGAGAATTCCCTTTCCCACCTACTCTTAGGAAGAATTTCTAACTCACTGAGCTTCACAGTTTGTTTCCCAGATGCACATAGCCACATACCCCATCAGTCCTCTGGCCACACACCACTTGGCCAGCTTGTGACAGAGGCAGGCTCAGATATTCGTGGCTCTCAGATTCCATATGCACATACATTCTGATTCAGTGAATGCAGCGTCAGCTCTGAAACGGCACTAAAGGAATAACACTGTTCTATTTCCAACAGGAAGTGAACTTAGCGCCTCTGTTTCATCTGCCATTTGGCTAAGCTGTGTCTGCTTCCATCTCAGAGGCCTGAGGAAGGGTACTGTGATACCCAAAACTTGCCTATATCTATAGTAACCATACAGTTGGTCCAATTAAAGATATCATCCACAAGTATTCTTGCCTCTTGCATATCTCCTGGACCATCATGGCAACATCACCTCAACACTACTTAGCACCTCTGAAGAAGATACTTAGAAAGGGAATGGCATTTCTCATTTGTCCTAATTTACTAGAACAGCCTCATCTGTGGTAACCAAATCTCTCCCCTCTTCCAACACAGGAGTGAGATACAACCAGCAGCCAGCCAGTGAGCCAGAGTCATCCAGCAGCAACCACCATGGAAACAACTCTATGGTGACTACGCAAACCATTCTTCATCAGGTCTCTCCACCTGGACTGGAGCCCAGCCAGAATTTGTTGAGCACAGATACTAAGCTGGTGAGTGATCTACACCCTGGCTCCAGTGATTTTTGTGATGTACAGGAATCAGCAAAGGACCCCTGGGTTGGAGAGCATTCAGAAAGTATATTTTCCAGAACACTGTTAAAATGACATGTTATTTATGACAGCAGCTGAGCTGATGGCAATGTTATGTGGCCACATGAGAGCACCCAGTACAAGCACCTTCTTAGGGTTCCCGTGCCCTGCTGACAGGTGGTAGGGGTGGGTGCTGGAAGCTGAAGGCAGCAAGTGGGATTATCCCATTCAGTTACTGCTTTGCAATTAACTAAAGTAATATGTTGTACTTAAAACAGAAAAGCAGAGTCAAAGATCTCTAATGATGCATCTGTCCTTAACTTCCTCTTCCCAAAGGGACTTTTTCTCTCCATCCAGTGAGATTCCTCCCATTATCTGACTCTGGTTTGAATTTCTCAAGTTCAGGCTGAATCCATAGCTACTGACAAATCAATACCTGCATTGCCTCAATAAAAATCAGGTGCAACAGACCCAGCCTGCATAGAGTTCCCAGCACAAGGTCTTGTACAGTATATCTGGATAACAGCAGCTACATCATCCACACATTAAAAAACATCTGGAAATATCTGCCATCAGCTACACCTCTTCCCAAGTGATTTGGGCTGTTGAGTAGCATTATGCAGCTTCTCATTCTTGGTTGGCTTGTGCATATCCCTTAACTGTACAGCACGTAGAAAACCTGTTGGCAGGTGTTTGTATTGGTGCACGGCTAGTCTGGGACAAAGTTCAGTGCATTCTGGACGAGTCTGATTCAAAGCTGCAGTCACCCAGTCACACTGTTAGTTTTCTGATTATTCCTTGTTTTCATGAGGAGGAAAAGTCTTACAGAAGTTGGAAAGTCTCCTTTTACAGCAGTCTTCTAAGATGGATATGGTCAAGCTGGTCAGTCCTACCATTTAACCAACCACTGCTTAATCATGTTACAAAGTCAATGCACATTTGTATGTTAAAAAAGTTTAGATGTTGTAGAAAAATGGAAAGAAAAGACAGACAGATAGACAGACAGATATTTTTAGTGTTTAGCTGGCATCCCGACATTTAGAATGGTGCTTGAATTTCCATGGATTTTCAAAGGTCTTTCCAAACTTTAACCCTCAAAACTTCACTAGACATAAGATAGAAATTAAGGAGAGATGGAAAAGCTAAGGCACAGAGAGGTTAAATAAGTGAACCAAGATCCCAAACTGAATCAGTGACAATGCCAAGTCTAGCACAGTTTCCTGCTCTCTCCACTAGGCATATCTCCTCTCTCTATAAAAGTCATAATAGGAGTTGTTGAAAACAAGAGAAACACACATATATTTCTCAGGAAGAAATGAGTGGGACAGAAGAAAGACCTGTATCATATCCCCAGCTCTTCAACCAACTTCCTGCATGAACTTGGACAAGTTGCTTAATTCCTCTGTACCTGTAGAGGAATACTTCACCATAATGGGGGAGAGAGTAGGTTGTGGAGCTAACTCACTAATGTTTATAAAGCATTTGGAATGTCTTGGATGGAACAAAGTAGGGCAAAAAGCTACTTACTTTTAATACCTTGCTGCTTTAATGGTTAATCAGTAATAATAAAGGCAGAGAATGAAAGGAAACATGATGGTGTTCAACGCCGATAAATGCAAGGTTCTCCACCTTGGGAAAAACCCCCCCGCAGCATCCTTATAGGCTCGGCAGTGCTATGTTGGCTAGCACTATGGAAGAAAGAAACTTGGGGGTCGTCATTGACCACAAGATGAACATGAGCCTGCAATGCAATGCTGCGGCTAGTAAAGCGACCAAAATGCTGGCTTGCATCCATAGATGCTTCTCAAGCAAATCCCGGGACGTCATTCTCCCCCTGTACTCGGCCTTAGTGAGGCCGCAGCTGGAGTACTATGTCCAGTTTTGGGCTCCACAATTCAAAAAGGATGTGGAGAAGCTTGAGAGAGTCCAGAAAAGAGCCACGCGCATGATCAGAGGTCAGGGAAGCAGACCCTACGATGACAGGCTGAGAGCCCTGGGGCTCTTTAGCCTGGAAAAGCGCAGGCTCAGGGGTGATCTGATGGCCACCTACAAGTTTATCAGGGGTGACCACCAGTATCTGGGGGAACGTTTGTTCACCAGAGCGCCCCAAGGGATGACGAGGTCGAATGGTCACAAACTACTTCAAGATCGTTTCAGGCTGGACATAAGGAAGAATTTCTTTACTGTCCGAGCCCCCAAGGTCTGGAACAGCCGGCCACCGGAGGTGGTTCAAGCGCCTTCATTGAACACCTTCAAGATGAAACTGGATGCTTATCTTGCTGGGATCCTATGACCCCAGCTGACTTCCTGCCCTTTGGGCAGGGGGCTGGACTCAATGATCTTCCGAGGTCCCTTCCAGCCCTAATGTCTATGAATCTATGAAATCTATGAAATTGAACTCAAATATAGAGTGCCTTTCAATCAGCAGCTAGAGGAGCAGGATGTAACCCAGCTTTGGGGCTTTGAGTGCCAGTCACGCTCAGACTGCTTCAGGTGGTGTTTTCACAGGTCTCCTTTCTCTCTCATGTGCAGATATCAGCTCCCGGGGGGCCTCTCCCTCCTGTTAGCACACTCACTGCCCTGCATAATCTGGAGCAAAATCCACACGCGCTGAGTCAGCAAACCCAGAACTTGATTATGGCATCACTGCCTGGTGTGATGGCAATTGGAGCTGGTGAGACTTCATCCTTGGCGCCAGCATTCACCAACACAGGAGCCTCCACCCTGGTAATAGGTGAGCAATGGCCTTAAGTATTGTGGTTTATGACCTAGATTCTGGTTATTTGGATTTATCCAAAAGTGATGTGTAGTTGTCTGTTCATTGCTTGTGCCAAAAGCCCTGAGGCTGCAGGGAGGAGAACACAGGTCTGGGCAAGTTGGTCACAACTACTGGGGATTTCCAGCATCAGCTATTTGGAAGTAACAGTGGGATTAAGGGATAAGAGCAACACCTGTGTGCAAGATTTAAGATGCCCTGAGAGAGAGGAGTCTACTTTGTAATCAAGGAACTGGGAGTGAAGAGCTCCTGCAATCTCTCTCTGTTGCTGCCAATAATTGATTCCACCACTGCACCTCTCTGCCAGCTTTCATTAAAATTTCTATTTTAAAAAAATAATTCCTCCCTCCTGACTGTGAAGATCAGGTAACATTTGCACAGCACTTGGAAGATTAAAAGCACAGAGCATCTTATTTCCTGCCTAGCAGGAAGTTGGTGTTCCTCGAATTTCAGCCCCTCTGAATTCGTATGCTATTTCTCACCGTGCGTTTCTCTCCAGGGCTGGAAAATTCTAATGTGCACAATACAAGCAGCCAAATAAAGGAAAACAAAAAATACACAGGTCTTCATTTTAAGCAGAAAAAGCCCTATTAATCTATTCCTTGATACCAGCTCTGTACTGTCGCCTTTCCTCATTTATGCCAGTATGCAGTTAAGATGCACATCTGCATCTTCCACAATTCTCTGCAACTTTATATCATTCCCCAGGATATGAATGGCATCCTGGTCCCATAGAAGCTTAGGTGAAATGTAAATCACTAAGTGGAGGCTGGACTGCTGAGGGACTTGGGCTATGAAATCTCTCATTCCTGTTAAACTGGTTCAACTTCAGCCATTTAGTAGCCAGAACAAAAGCAGTCTAACTACAGTTTTGAGCAGTCAGATTGTATAGCACAACTGCCCTTCTTCACCAGCATTTGAACATAGAGATTGAGTGAATAAATGGATCATTGAGACTACAATACTATTCTGACCTCTATAAGATGTCTCCCTAGTGGAAGGTTATGGCAGATCAGAACTTAGAATCATAGAAAATTAAGGTTGAAAGGAACCTCAGGAGGTCATCTAGTCCAATCCTCTGCTTAAAGCAAAATCATCCCAGCCAAGACTTCATCTAATCTACCCAGGTCTTAGAAAGCATGAAGGATGGAGATTTCACAGCCTCTCTGGGTAACCTGTTCATGCTTTACTACCCTCCTCATGAGAGTTTTTCCTAATATTTAATCTTAACTTCCCTTGTTGCAACTTGAGACTATTGTTCCTTGTTCTGTCATCTGCCACCACTGAAAACAGTTTAGCTACATCCTTTTTGTAACCACCTTTCAGGTAATTGAAGGCTCCTATTAAATCCCCCCTCTGTCTTCTTTTCTTCAGACTAAATAAGCCCAGTTCCCTCAGCCTCTCCTCATAAATCACATGCCCTTGCCTCTTAACAATTGTTGTTTTCTGGCTAGACTCTCCCCAATTTGTCCACATTCTTTCTGTAGTGTGGGGCCCAATGCTAGACACAGTATTCCAGATGTGGCCTTATCAGTGCCGAATACAGGGGAATAATCGCTCTTCTTGATCTGCTGGCAACACTTCTTCTAATGCAGCCTGTACCCTTGGCTGTTACCTTTCTTCACAATAAGGGCATAATGTTAGCTCATATTCCGTTTATTTTCCATTGTCACTCTCAGGTCCTTTTCTGTATAGCTGCTGCTTATCCAATTAGTCCCCAGCCTGTACTGGTGCATGGGGTGGTTCCATCTTAAGTGCAGGACTTTGTGCACTTGTCCTTATTGAACTTCATGGGCATCTACACACATGCACCGGAGTGGAGGGGGCTCTCAGAGCCACCCTAATTAAAGCACCCACAGTGTCACATGTATTCAGTGTCCCATGCTTCAAAATGGCAGCAGGGGTGCTTTAACTAAAGCTCATTTGATGAGCTTTAATTAAAGCGCCCCACCACCATGTTGAAACGTGGATATGCTGAATATACAACATGGAGACTGCTGGAGCATGCTAATTAGCACGCTCCAACAGATTTGCAGCAGTCTCAATTAACTGAGTCTGCTCCGATGAGTGCTAATTAGTATGCATCAGAGCAAAGCTTCATCACATGTATAAGGGCCCCATGAGATTTCTTTTGGTCTACTCCTCCAATTTGTCTAGGACTCTGAATCCTAACCCTACCCTCCGCATATCTACTACTCCCCCAACCTTGGTGTCATATGAAAACTTGCTGAGGGTGCACTCCATCCCATCTTCCAGATTGAAGAAGATATTGAATAAAAACAGCCCCAGGACCAACCCCTGGGGCACTCCATTTGATACCAACTGCCAACTAAGTACCAAGCCATTAATTACTAACCTGTGAGCCTGATGATCCAGACAGTTTTCTATCCACCTTACAGACCATTCATCCAACCCATACTTCCTTAGCTTGCTTGTGAGAATGTTGTAGGAGACAGTATCAAAAACCTTGCTAAATGCAAGGCATATCACATCCACTGGTCTCCCCACATCCAGAGCCAGTCACCTCATCATAGAAGGCAATCAGGTTAGTCAGACATGACTTGCCCTTCATGAATCCACGCTGACTGTTCCCAGTCGCCTTCTTCCCCTTCAAGTACTTGATGATCTACTCCATGATTTTTCCAGGGACTGAGGCAAGACTGACAGGTCTGTAGTTCCCTGTATCTTCCTTCACTTTCTTAAAGATAGGCACTGTATTTCCCTTCTCCAATTGTCCAGGACCTCTCTTGAGTGCCACAAGTTTTCAACGATAATGGCCATAGGTTCTACAATCACATCAGCCAACACCTTCAGCACTCTCAGGCATAGGCAGAGAGAATGTTTTTTGTTGTTTTTTTGTTTGGTTGGGTTTTTTTTTGTTTTTTTTTTGGGGGTGGGGGGGAAGCTGAATGCAGGGAAAGTCTGCAGGGGAAGGGGCAGGGGGAAGGGCCGTGGGACAGTGGGAATGTGGCTAGGGCTGTGCTCAGGCCGAGTCGGGTTGTGGGGCAATCAGAGCCCAGCAGCTACTCCAGGAGTGTGGGCAGGCAGCTCTTGCTGCTGTGTACACCATGGGGGAGCCGGGGGGGCACATTTCTACCCTTGGCTCCCTTGTGCCATACCCCTTGGATGAGCTGTTGGGCTCTGATTGTCCCATGACCCAGCCCAACTGGAGCCCCATTCACGGTGAATGGGGCCCTGGCCAGAGCATGTGCCCCTCCCTGATCTTTGCATGGAGCAAGGGCAGGCTGCAGCTGTAAGCTGGGCTCTGCCTGCTCTCTGACTTCACACCTCGTTGCTGCTGCTTTGAAAGCGGTGTGGCGCAGCGCCACGTGCTTTGCTGCAGCGGTGGGACACGCATAGTGCTGTGCTACGCTGCTTTTGAAGCAGTGGCAGTGAGACTCGGAGGCAGGGAGCAGGCAGATCCCAGCTCACAGCTGCAGCCTGCCCTTGCCCCGTGCAAAGACTGGGGGGGCATGTGTCCCCCTCTTGGTGCTGTGCCTCTGAGGGAGCCACTGGGTTCCGATTATCCCACAACCTGGCTCAGCCAGGGCCCCATTCATCGTGAGTGGGGCCCTGGCTGGGCCGGGTTGTGGGACAATCCCTGCAGTGCAGCAGGGAGTGGGTGGGGGCAGGAGTGAATGATTTGCCCCTGCCCCTACCTTACTATCTCCTGCACTGTGGGGGTCTTGATCTGCTCCTCCCCACAAGCCCAGATAAAGAAAGAAACTTACCTTGTACACCCAGGTTTGCAGCAGGCCCAGCAGGCAGGTATCTGAATGTGTGTGTCCCTCCCCACTGCTGCAGCCGCTTGGCCGGGCTGCCCTCTGGCTATACCTGCTGCCCCCTGCATTTGGGGGAGGGGGGGGGGGGGCTGAGCCCAATTAGCACCCCCCTTCTGTTGCCTATGCTCTCAAGTACATTGCATCCAGCCCCATTGACTTGTACACATTTGGCTTTTCTAAATAGCCCCTAACCTGTCATCATGGTCAGCTGCTCACCTCTTCCCCAAACTGTGCTGTCAGATGAAGTTGTCTGGTAACTGGCCTTGCCTGTGAACACTGAGGTGAAAAAGGCACCAAGTACTTCAGCCTTTTCCCTATCATATGTCACTAGGTTGGCCCCCCACCCATTCAGCAAGGGACCTACAGTTTCCCGGATCTTCCTCTTGTTGCTAACATACTTGTAGAAACCCTTATTGTCACCCTTCATGTCCCTTGCTAGCTGAAACTCCAGTTGTGCTTTGACCTTCCTGATTTCATCCCTGCATGCCTGAGCAATATTCTTATACTCCTCCATAGATTTATGTCCAAGTTTCCACTTCTTGCAAGCTTCTTTTCTGTGTTTGAGCTCACTGAAGAGTTCCCTGCTAAGCCAAGCTGGTCTTCTACCATACTTGCTAGTCTTCCTGAGCATGGGATGGTTCATTCCTGCACCCTTAATAAGGTTTCTTTAAAATACAACCTGCTCTCCTGGACTCCTTTTCCCCTCAGATTGGCCTCCCAGGGGATCCTGCCCATCAATTCTCTGAGTGAGTTGAATTTAACTGTGCCCTGTAAGCTATAGCTGGGGCTCCAACTCTAAAACGTACACTGGCAAAGATAGAATTTTTTATTGGCTCCAGGTTTGTATAGCCACGTCTTCATTTTCACAGGCACTAAATTCTGCCACTCTCAGAAAGGCTGTGGCTGTAAGAGAGTGTGCTGTTACGCAGAGCTGTTATGCCTGATCATGCACAAATATACTCAGAGGCTTCAACAAGTACAGGTCTTAAGAAGACTCCAGATGCCCATTAGTAAGGAAAACGGCTACATGCCCATGATGCAAGATGGAGTTAGGTAAGGAACTGGGAGTATCATCTGTTCTTATTTTTCAGGCCTGGCCTCAACCCAAGCCCAGAGCGTCCCTGTCATAAACAGCATGGGGAGCAGCCTCACCACCCTGCAGCCAGTTCAGTTCTCCCAGCAGCTCCACCCATCTTACCAGCAGCCCATCATGCAGCAGGTCCAGAGCCACATCAATCAGAGCCCTTTCATGGCTACCATGGCCCAGATACAGAGCCCCCATGGTAAGTTGCAATGGTTTTGCTTGAATGTGCAGGTCCATGCAGTCCCTTTCACTTGGGAGGTTTGCTGGGCTAGGGATGAGTGCCCCTGGTCTTGTACTGTTCTCTAAGGAAAAGAACAATGAAACAGGGGAAGGTTCCTCCTCCGCGTTGGTCTCCCAGCCTCTCTGTGCCCACAATTTCTGTCTCAGATTTAGGATTGGCTGATAACAGACTCACATGGGCATCACTTTAGCTGAGCTTGTCTCATCATTTAAGCCTTCTTATTCCTAGTTAAAACTCTCAGAGCTCCAACATCCACATAACTTTGTTTTCTCCCATTCCCAGCTCTCTATGGTCCCAAGTCAGAAGTGGCCCAATACGCACATACCGGCCTTTTACCGCAGACCATGCTGATAACAGACACGGCCAATCTCAGCGCCTTGACTAACTTAACGCCAACCAAACAGGTACCTTGGGATTTATGCACATGGCTTCATTCCCCTACCTAAAATCACAGCACAGGGAATGGTACCCTGCTCCTGCCAGCTCATCACATTTGGCGCACTATCCATGCTGTTCCAGCTGCCTTCTCAGTACCAGCTGGAGTAATGGTTACATGAGGGCAAGCTTCCCTGCTGTACCAGCAAGGCTTGCTGAGTCTCCCTGGAAATGGGACTTGCTTGCTGTTTCCAATCCTGCTTTTCCTGTGCAGCTGCCTATTAGGACTGCTGGAGATGACAGACATGACCCCTGCCCTGCTGTAACATTATTTTTCTAGGTGTTCACATCTGACTCAGAGAACCACACAGAGTCTGGAATCCACACACCAGTGTCGCAAACACAAACAATACATTTACAGAATCAAGACACGACCATTCAGCACCTTCAGCCAGGCCCTCGCCTCACCTCGAGCCCAGCTGGTAAGAACAAAAGGTGCTCCTCCCTTCCCTGCCAGCATCCTATCAGGTCAGATAACAGCACTGAGCACTCTGCAACAGGACTGTGCCAAGGTCCTGAAGGATGCAGAAATCTAGCCTACTAAAAGAAAGCTCTAAAACACAGTCCACAGCAAGAATTCTCCAGCACATCCAAACCAAAGTATGGGCATGGAAATGCAGCCTTTGGTGGAATTTGTACAAATGACTAACATTAAAGAATGCAGTCAATCCTACAGAAAGTATGCAGGACAAGGCAGGATGAGATGCCTTCAGGGACAGTATGGAGCTTTCCAGCTCCAGGAGGGCATTAAGCCAAGAAGCAACTACAATCTGTAGCTTTAAATCCCTGAGGATTGACTGTAACATTGTGCTTGGAGTCCACAACTGGACACAGGCATGCAAGTCTTTGCACATGGAGTGAGGGAAGAAAGAATAAGTCTTATGTGACAGGCAAAGATTAGGACCTACTCTCCAAGAGGAAGTCTGCTTACATTCCATGTTGAAAGGGGGAGGGGAGTTACAAAGGGAATAGGGAGCAGATTAAAGAACAGACTAGGTTCAAACTGTGGTTTTGTGCATGTGTTTTAACAGCATCCTCTAGCAGTCTGGTGCTCTACCAGAGCTCTGACTCCACCAACAGTCACAGCCACCTGCTGCCATCTACTCACAGCGTTATAGAGACCTTCATCTCTGCACAGATGGCATCCTCCACTCAGTAACCATGGGGACCAGCTCACGGGCAAGTGCCACAACCACATTTGTCAGGAGCAGTGCCATCTGGGTTTGCGAGTCACCACCATGGCTGCCTTCCATGGTGAAGAGAGTACCGTGGCCAAAGGCCTCCTGCCCCTCCACTGCCTTGTACAGACTCCTCACCTCCGTGTGTCACAACCTGGGAAACGGACTTTTTCAGGCACTGTGCTATGAATGCACACAGAGGGTGGATAATTCAGAAGGATAGGACTAACACCACTCGCTTCCACTGCCAAAGGAAACAATGACCACCACAGACATACCAGGAATCCTTGTAGCTGCCCACTGAGGATTTCTGCAGCACAGGGATCTGACTGAACTCTAGTAAAGTGTGAGGGGGTATAGCTGGGGTTTTAGCCCTCGGCAGGGCTGGGTGTGCATAAGCTTGTCCACTCCAGAGCAAACCCTGCAGGGAAGTGCAGAGCTGAGCTGCAGAATGCAGAGACCCTTAGATACTCCTATTGCTGCTGCCAAAGATAATGGAAACATGCTTGCGAGTGAGAGGGAGAATCACCTTGGTGCAGCCAATACAAAAGCTCAATTTCTACCCTTGAAACTAAGACTACTGAGAAACAAAATCAGAGATGGCATGGACAATTTGCTCAGTATGGGTTTACACACTGACCCTTACCATTTAACTTGATACCAATTTTATTTAGCTCAAACCTATTACCCACTCTAAAACAGCACACAGCCAATAGAAAAAAAACTGAGCACTTTCATTAGTTTTGCTTCATTTAAAATGCAAAAATTAAAGTTCAGGAGCAGGAAAGACTACTTAGTTCTCTATGTCAACAGATGTGATTCTCACCTCTCTTACCTTTCCCTGTGTGACCAGTGGACATAGCAGTATATAGGCCAGGCAAAAGAAGAGGTAGCCTGTCACTTTACAGCTACCTTATGGTTCAGAAGCTAAGCTCTTTAAGCTGTTTCTAACTTAACACCAGTGTCCTTTCCACCACGGACTGTGTATGAGTCTCACTGCCTGTGCAACATACACCAGCTCTTTTCTATAAAGATCACAGCATAGGTGGACCGGTATATTTAACATGTTTTGATCCCATCTTCAATCATTATCCTCACTATGACCTAGCTGCTACAGCTCTCACTCCTGTGAACTCTCAGAGGAACTAACATAAGCAAAGGCTTTAGGTTACTAGTTATAAACTCCTCAAATAATTCCTCTCCTCTCTTCTCATTTATGTCCTTCACATCATTAATGAGTTGCAAACAAATACAACAGAAGCCACAATAAGCTTATTTCCAAGGTTATAATGGAAGCTATCAATTCCAGTGTATAGAGGACAAAACCCCTACAGGGAAAATATGATCAAACCTCCAAAAGGTTAAGAAACAATGGAGAATAAAAGGCAAAAGGCATAAGTTGACAGTGATCATTAAGGCCACCACATCTGGCAATTTCAAGCATAAAGATGTAAAAACTGCAGTCTATACTGAGATTTTCTTGCTGGATTCAGATATTATCAGCCATAAGAGATTAATTTCAGTAATTGAAGTTCTTGGTGGAATTTGGTTTTAGAATTGCTCCCCCCTCTCCACTGTGCATTATCCTGTAAATATATTTAACTTCCAATAAATTGAAAAGAAAATCCTGTGAAAGGCTGTTGTACATTTAGCTTCTTGACTGAATAAATGACATCAACATTCAGGCGAATAGGGAAGATTCATATGCAAACTTCATAATGTTCAGAAAGTTAGTTATTGATCATTTTGATGATGGCTGTTAGGCAAACAGTTTTTGTTAGTGTATTACAATTAATTTACAAGCCAATACTCTAAATAGTCTTTTGGGTCTGAAATGCCAGCAGAGCTTTTCCTGGTTTGAAAAATACCATATTGTTCTGATTATAAGTGGACCTGGATATATGTTGAGTCCACATTTTCAGGGTCAATTTTAAGGAAAACAGCCTTTTCCTTGAATTTAGGTTTATAACTAGAAATAAAGACCTTGAACACTATTGCTTTTAAAAAAATTCCACAGGGGAATCAAATACACAGGGAAAAGACCAAGAGGGTTAAATAAACTAAAAAACTAAATAAAACCTGCCCTGAAAAATTTCTGACTCGGTATTTTTATTCCACACACAAAAATACCACATGTGCTAAAGTAAAAGGTGTCAGGGTACCCAATAAAGGGTAATCCTGCACAAGTGCAATTCATGGTTCTTTTGGAAAATCTGTAATCTTAACAATATGGTGTTTGGGGTCTAACAGGAGAAAAATATGTGAGATTTCCTGATGCACTACATGGGGCAGCATTTTCCTAGTTCAGTGGCTCTAGTCTAGCTTTTAAGGCTCCAGGAGGAGGGGAGAGGACCAATGGTCAGAGCTATTGAGACCCATAAGCCTCAAAAACACAAATAAAGATAGATAAAGGTATTCCCAACCCACCCAAATAATGGATTTTGACCTGCTTTATTAGAATTGCAGACCTCTATTAAGAAAATAAGAACAGTGGTGAAAACTGCTGAGTCTCAGAGAAATAAACTGACCTGACTGATCAGGTCCAAATAAGGACATAAATACAGGAAATGTCAAACTAAGCTGGAGAGCACCTGTTTCCAGTAATGCTACAGCACTGACCATCAAGTTACTATAAACAGCTGTGCACATAAAATCATGTGACATACGCAACCCTGCTGCAAACGTCCATCTGAGTGGAAGCACAGAGCACTTGTGAACAATACGTGATACATCAAATGAGACCAAGAGGTGTTGGCTGTTATTAAATTCTACTGCACGTGGCAGGTGTAATACTATGAAAATAAAGCTTCAAGGGGCATAGCTCTGAAAGAAACACGAGTTTATAACAACATACAACTGCATGCTCCTTCAGCAGCTGTTAGCCTGGGAGTCCAGGAGAATGCAGATGACAAGGGAATTAATAACACAGCAGGTTTTGATAATGTGATAGTGACTGCAGGAGATGTAAGTGGACTCCTAACACCCATCAGGATGCTATTGAATGAATCAGTCTCTGTCACTGGATGGAGGTGTTCATCTGTTGGTTCTGGCATGAGGTGACAAGAGAAGTGAAACAGAACTGATTCTCTGCTCCCATTTCCACCAAAATCAGCTTGTCACATATATGCTCAGACCGGATCCATTGTCCTGGACACCAAAAGGATCAAACCAGGGCAGAAGGGACTATGAATATGTCACTGTATTATCAAAGTCTGTGCAAAATACCACATCCCTCCAAGCAAGGTCTGCCTAAGCAACAGTGCAGGTATCTGCTCTGTGCTTGGTCTTCCATTCTGTTTCCCAATAGATGTCACAACATGGGCAGCCACTTAAATAAGCTCCCAATGCTCTGAAACCCTAAAATAGCAACTTTGGCAATTATGCTCCCCCACTGCCAGCGGAAGACATTCTGCAGGAACTACCTTTTGCTGTTAACGTTTCAGTGCCCTTCATCCATCCTGACCATCTGCAGTCTGTAGACTAGAATATGCATTCTCTTCTTTCCTGATTTTCTTCTTCTTTTTCTTCTTCACTGATCTGGCCTCTTTATATCTACCTTCCTGCCGCTCACGCTCTCCATTGCTAAGAATGGGACATAGAGCATTCTTGCTGGTCTCACCACACCTGACCGCTTCTGGTATCTGTTGATCATTATCACTCTCTCCTTTAACTTTCTTCTTCCTTTTCTTCTTCTTCTTCTGGTTGTGCTCTGTGCACTCTTGATTCTGGGCCTGGTTGTAGTCATGGGATATCCCAGGAAGAGCACTCTGCTTCAGGATGTCTGCTGCTGATACAGCAGCCTCTTGGCACCTCTGCCATTCCTGGTCACTGTCTAGTTCACTGAAAGAGTTACAAGAAAAGCAGGAGGTAAGTATGTTACATGTTCACCTTGAATTCAGCCAAAGCACAGAATCCAAGATTCCAACATCATCCTGTTTGAGATTTGGATGAACTCAATGCTTTTGAGGCACAAAAATCTATTATAGAAACTACTTAACCAGTCTGTAGCCTAAGCTGCTCTTGAAAGCTATTGTGCTTCAAGGGGGGATACACTCAAAGCAGGAATACATCTTTCCAAGCATATTCCTTGTTTCTATTTAAAACAAATTAAAAGATTTTTCTAATGTAGAGAAAAAAATTCCTTCAAACCAGAAGTTTGAAAAACTTTTCTTCATACTGAAAAAAACACAAGTTGTATGAGCTAACACTTGAAAACAAATTTGGAATAAATTTAAAAGTAGAGATGAATAGAAGATAGTGAGGTCTGTATTATGCAGAGTTCTGAGAAAAAAGAGGGTGTGGATTATTATATACTTACTAATAAAGAAACACAAAAGCCTAACATCAAGTGAAACATAACGGAACTGTCAGAGACCGAAAGGAAGAGAAGAAAAGAACACAAGTCCTTGTAGACATTGACTTGGGTTAAAAGAGCACATTTGTCTCTATGGGGCAGATTGGATGCATCTTTAAATGTTATTTTTTTATTTGATAAGTTGGATTCATTAATAAAGTTACAAAAATAAAAATCTTTTGACAAATTCAAATGTAAATGCAATAAAAACTGATTACTTGATCCCTGCAGCTTTCAATTTCCTGAGCTGTCTCAAACCAATCTTTTAAAGACAGATGGAATCATGCATTAGAAACAAAGTATCAGTCTAACATTTCACCTGGAACTGGAAGTTCTTTGCCTCCTGGCTGAGTGGGAAGGTTCTGATTTTCCACAATCTCCTGGGACAGATGAGGAGAATAAACGAAAGCCTGAAACATACAGAAAGGGAACAAAAGGCAATAATGGTGTCAACCCTGACATGACTAGAGTCCCAACCAGCACTAACATGGCCCTAAAGATCTCAGAGGTGTTAGCATGCCATAATATCAAAGCAACCCAGAAATTCTTGTGATGCACATATTCAGAGCAATGTGTGAGCTAGCAACGGAGAGAAACCAATACACTTGTCCATGTCTGTTTAATAGTTTCCACCAACACAACAGTATCTGTGCTTGGAACTTACCATCGTCTTCAAAGTCAGCAGCTTGTATGGAAATCCATCCACAACGTGGTGAACCCTCCAAGACAGTGATGCAGCTAGAGGGAAAATCAAAACTTGAATTTAGGAAAGGGGAAAAGGATTTAACTTTGTGCAGCAAACACAAGAGAGTTGGACATACTAAGAAATAAAAGTTAAGTGAGAAGTTATGTGATTTTTTTAAGTGGCTTCACTTCAATTCTTCACTTCTGAAGTGATCACAATAGAGCAGGTTCACTCCCAACAAAAGCGTGACACACATGAACTGCCCAACAACATTCCAAGCAGCCAAGCCACACTGAACACTAAGACATTTAGTTCCCATTGGCCATATTTTTGCATTAAAGTACAGCAGCAGCAAACTGCAGCTTAGTGCAAAATTTGGGCGTTGCAAGGATAACATGAAAAGAGATCAGAGTTTTTAATAACCAAATTTAAAGTCAGCTCTTAAAAGGTGGAAGCTCTGGTGAATGTAAATTTTGCTTATTTCTTTTCCAGTGCAGAATATACAGCACTGAGGATAACAGAGAAAGGCAGTATCAGGTTTTCTACCTCAGCAATGGAAAACTGAACAAGGGTGAGGTCAATTTATAAGCATTTGGAGGCCTGGAGTAAATGCAAGGGTGGAGGAAACAAGAGCAACAATCCTTCCTTAATCTCTAAGAATTTTTCCCATGGCAAAAAATGCACTTAAATCTACAATGATTCCTTCACCTAGCACTTCAGGAGCATTCACACAGCTTTAGTTAGGAAAAAGCCTAAGTCTTTATTTGATCTCATATTGCAAAGTTTTGGTTACCCATTTGCAGATACCTGTCTAACATTGCTCCCAGTTTCTTTGCAACATGTGCTCTGAACTCTGGTGTGGTCTGTAACTCGTTCCCGTCTTGGTCATGATCATTCACTCTCTGCCTGTTTAAAATAAAAAACAACAACAACTGTGGTCTTCTTCAGGCCCTGTGATCCTCTGTTGTTCTCAAGTAAGTGACAGGGGACCGGCAATGTGACAGAGCATCTTGTGCCTTAAATAATCAATTTAAATCCAATTCAGATAAATAGTAAACAAAAGCAATTATTATAAAGAGAGCTGTTCATTAGCAGATGTTGACTTAGCCTAGTGGGCTCAGGACGGTTCCCAAAGCACACATTACCCAATTACCTCCAACATGAAATCCATTATGACCTTTCTTCCCTTCATTGTAGTGCTGCAGTCACTGGGGGTGGGGTTGTGCTGGACTCTTCCTGACAGGCTGGGCTGAGCTATGCTCAGGGTGGGCGGTGGTGGTGCTGGGAGGGGCTACGTGGGGAAGGGGGCTGCAGACACCCCAAAACTTGCCATAGCCTCACCATAACCCTTCCTCCCAGCACTGCTGACACCCACCTTGAGCACAGCCCCCACATACCAGAGAGCCCGGTGCGGCCCTAGCCCCAGCCCGCAGCGGCCACTCACCCCACCTGCGCCCCATGCAGATCCAGGGGCACACGCCTTCCCTGGGTGCACGCAGCAGCCATCCACTCCACCCCACAACCCCTGGACAAGCCATGGCTGCGTGCATGCATGGGCATTTATCGGCCACATAAGCCTGATTTCCAATGCACTCAATTTTCTTTATATTGGTGCCAATCTGACATTGGACTTTATATTGGTGCCAATCTGACAGAGGCTGACTTAATGTCAGCCTAATGCAGACCTGCCTTAACTCGGACGTGCTTGTCTTTGCAACCATAACCTTCTTTTAACGTAACTTGTGTGTGTGTGTGTGTGATTTCCTAGCTTCATCTGAAAAAGCAAATTGAAGAATAAATTCCCGATGTGGAATCAAACTGGGTCAGTAACAGTGTTCCTTCTAAGTTGCACGCACGCACAGCTGCGCACAAGTAAAAATGTTGCTGCGCACCCGCTTGGAGAGAAGCTGGGCTTGGAGTGCGGCAGAGGCACCGGGGCCGGTATAGGACTGGGGTGGGGACGGGAACAGAGACAGAGATGGGGATGAGGACATGGCTGGCACGGGCTCCACCGGCTCCGGGGAACTGCTCCGCTCCCCCACATTGCCTCAGGGAGCGAGGAGGCACATGGCATCAGGGCTGAGGAGTGGAGCAGTTCCCCGGAGCTGGCAGAGCCTCACACAGGGCAGGCAGTGGCTCCTCCCTGAGGTGAGGCAAGGTGGGGACGAGGGCTGGGGGCTAGCGCAGGCTCCGCCGGCCCCGGGGAACTGCTCCACTCCTCAGCCCTGATGCCATGTGCCTCCTCGCTCCCAGAGGCAATGCAGGGGAGCAAAGCAGTTCCCTGGAGCCAGCGGAGTCTGTGCCAGCCTCCAGCCCACCTTGGGGAGGAGCTGCTGCCTATCCTGCTTGAGGAGTGAGGAACTTACCTTTGCCTGGTGGCCAAACTCTGCCCACTCTCACCTGGACACTTACTTTGGGACACTTACCGGCAGACCACACCATGCTGAAAGGGGGAGGCGGGACCAAAGCAACACTCATGGACTGCTACTCCTTAGAGGGAACATTGGTCCCTAACGGAATTGGGAGAATTCTGGCACTTGAGCTAACAGAGTAAGTCAGGGATGTCAAACTCTTTTGGCCCCACAGGCTGGATTAGTGGTGTGGGACTGGTCCATAAACCAGAGGAATGATGCAAGGCTGGCCCCACGGGCTGGATCAGGCCCATTAATAACCTCCCCTCTCTATGCTGTACACATAGTCCCCATTCTGACTAGTTTGGGATCTGGCAAGAAGCAGCCCAGCATCCTGGACACTTAGCTGCCATCTCAGGAACAAACCAAGGTGCTGCTGGGGCTTTAGCACTGGGGGTCTCACCCAGGCATCTGAATCTGCCACAGGAAGGTCCATCATCAGAGCCAGATTCAGGGCAAAAGCCTGCAGGCCAGATTGCAGGCCATGTTTGACACACCTAGAGCAAATGACAGCCTCAGTAAATTGTCAGCCCCCCTGAAGATCTGCCATTAAGGAGGGAACACTGACTAACAGAAAAGTAGCCAGGTGATTTCACAGACATTTGCTGACAGCAAAGGAATGTTGAGACTCAAGAATCTTGAGCTCTATTCCAAGCAGAACTTTACTAAGTTATAAGCAATGGGGAACTGGTTTTAAGAAGGCAACTGTTGTGCAACTATAATGATAGGCCACCATACTACATCTGCTATGACAGCAGCACTTTTCTTCACTGAAAATGGACTCTGAAACCAGGAAAAATACCTGAGACTTGGCTGAGCTGATGGTAGCTTGTCTGTCCTTAAGCCACCTGACAAAGCAAAGCAAAATCAAATTAGAATGATCCAAAACACCCATAATTCCCATTTTGTTGCAAGTGATTTGACAGAGTATAAATCCTTTTGAAAGACAGGACAGGGGTCACATTCAAAGAATACTGCTATGATCTGAAACTCTTCAAGCTGTACATAAAATGGCTTACATCCCTGGCTAAAACATAACCAGAGTTTACACTGGATCTATCCACTGAAGAAGGAAAGTATCCTTACGTGGCAAGAATCCTATAGGTATACAGTATATTTAATTTATAACATTTATGACCCTAAAAGTGCAGCATGCCTTGTTAGCACTGTCTGCGAGATGGAGCCTCATGGAGTGCCAAACTTTTAAATGTTTAGTTCTGAGGTAGGACAAACACACCTGACAGGCACCCTCAGAGGTAGGACTAGACACAGGAGGAAACCACAGGCAGAGGACAAGCCAAAGATTGACCGACAATTTAGCTACTGATTAAGTAGCTCAGGAATTGTGGCTGGAAAGAAGAGCTGGCCACCAGGCCAGGGGCTCTCAGGCTTCATGGATGCTCAGCCATGGGGCGTTTGGTTTCAACATCTGCTAAGGTGATGGGCCGCCACGGAGCGGGACAGGACCCTTCGCCAACGGAAAGGGATCCGGGCTGGGCAGGGCAGGGAAGCCCGGCCGGACCCCGCCACGTGGGAGAGGAAGAACCCGGCCAGGTCGGTGTCCAGCCGCCTACCGCTGCTGGGCTCCGGCCGTCCCGTGGCTGCCCGCTGCCCCGCCGGGTCCCAGGCGGCCTCGCGGAACCGCTCCCAGTCCTCCGCGCTGCATCCGCTCTCCGAGTCCGACCCGCCCGCGCCGCTACCGCTCGTGGGCGCCGCCATCTTGGGAGCCTCCCCGGCCGCCAAGCATTATGGGACTTGTAGTCCAGAACGGCGCTTTCCCTCCGCAGCCCCTGCGGACGGGAGCCGGCTTGTCCGCGGGAGCTCTGCGCTCCTGCCCCAGCCTCTTTGGCAGGGTGTCCTCCCGCCCAGCAGTGCCCGAGTTGCTCCAGGGACCTGCTTTCTACCTCCGTCCGGATAGCTAAGGCTGCAGCCTGCGCCCTGCCCAGCTTCAACAAGCGGCTCCGAGAGCCCAGCCTTGCGGGATCTGCCTCTGGCTGCGAGGGTCCCGGGGAGAATAAGGGACAAGCGATGCAGAGCTCAGCATAGCAGGGAATGCACGAGCTGTAACAGCTCAGGGGCCCTGAGGAGAAGGGGAGACCCGGCAAGCTGGGAAGCAGCAGTGGAGTCCTCAAGGACAACCTAGGCAAAGAGCCTGCTGGCAGTAAGTCTGGCAAGGGCCCAGGGGTGTAAAGGCAACAGATGAAAAGGAGTTGAGTGCTGAGTCCTGGAATAAATGTAAGAAGGGAAGATAGAGGCTGAATATCAAGGATGAGTACTCAGACCTGCACGACCTGTCCCAGCAAGAGATGGGGACAGACATGCTGCCTGGGTCTTTCAAAACTGAAGAGACAGACATATGCGATATGAAAGAGATGCTAGAAAATGTGCACTAGCCAACGGTCCTGCCATTGGCAGGGGGATGTCAACTGGAGATTTGTGTTGTTCTCTTCCATTTCTGACAGATGGTTTGGGGTTTTGCTTTGCACAATGTTGTGTGCTTGGGCACACAAAATTCCTGGAGGACTCTGTCAAGATGTGGAAAATGCAACAGGTAGACAGTCATTAATCCATGTATGAAGAAATACATTAGGTATATTTTTTTCCATGCAAAGGAAGTCTACATTGTCACCACCTGTGCTTCTTGTAACTAGCAAGCACATAGACATGGGATCTTGCATTCCAGGGACTCCAAACATGCTAACATTTAAGAGCAAAATTAAAAAGAACCAAATTATTTAAAGACAGAAAACAGTGGAGAACTGCTTTCCCAGCCTCTTTTAGTCAATATGTTTAATTGTATTTGGACCTTTCCTAATGACTCGCAGTATGCTATGCAGCTATTTCTTTTACCTGGTAGTTTTACACTTTCTTAATGGAAATCTTTATGTTCCTAATAATACATATGAATCAAGACAGAAGTTTTAGTCCATTGTTATGTCTGCCAGTGAGGAGTACCAGATACTTCAGAGCATAGTGTAAAAAACTTTAATCTGACATTTATATGTAGGTTTCCCACGCTTTATGCTGTACATGTGTTCCTGGAAAATGGTGTATAACTTGAATTTGCATAAAGGGATCCCACTTTACAATGTAGCAAAGAGAGATTTGTTCCAAGACCTTGACTGTTCTGACTCCCAGATCCATTTCTACCACTTTTACAAGACAATTTTGGTACTTTCCCACAGAAGACAGTACACACAAGCACAGGGCATTATTATAATGAGGATGGCAACTACAGAAACACATGTTGCAGACAACAAGCAAGGAGCACAGCTCCACACAGGAGACTATATTTTGGTGCTCGTCACTCCCACAATGCACTGCGGAAAACAGTTGACTGTGGGTTTCCACCACGCAGATGCATAACAGTGAATTTACATTGCATATAACAAATGTTTGGTATAAAAAGGGTCATCACATAAGAGCGAATTTGCATACAGAACCTGCATAAAGTGAGAGAAACCTGTAATGTGTGCTTATATAGGACAAATTGTTCAGGATGTTTGTTGTGAGCTTGTCATTATGGCAGTGCTTGGAAATATAATTAAAAAGGCAGATAAGAACTGCCATCCTAGAAAAAATGTTTGAAAGCAAGCATGTCACCTGCAGGAGACAGGTAAGATCCTTCAGGCCAAGAGAGACTCATGAAGTGAGTAACAGTTCCTGGAGAAGGCTTTCCATGTCCACCTAGAAAGAAAGGTTCAAGGAAAGACTGGAAATATATGAGCTAGCATGGCTGTTGAAAAGATGTAGGGTAAAAAGGGTGATATTGTCAATTGTGTTTACATGAGGCCATGAATATACTACTGTGCTAAAAATACTAATAGTATGGGAAAATACTGGGAAGAATGACAGTGGAAAAGCACTGATGCTAGACCCTGAAAGAGCCCTGACAAGGTGAAAGATTATTTACCTTGAATTGTTTGGCAGTCTATTGAGTATCACACCCTGAGGAAGGAAATCAAGGCATAGCAATACACATGAGGGCTGATTTAGTAGATGTGGCACATACTTTCCTATAATCTTAGGCTGTCAAATGCCCTGGAACATGGGGTTGTACCCCTTATATATGTTTATTCTATCCAGTGTTCATCTGAAAGCTCTTACAAACGTATGACATGGTAATCCTTTGAATCCAACTTGGATTCAATGAGGAAAATACTGCCTTTCAAAATGTTTTAACTTGTTGCTATTCCATTTAATTGCTCCTTGCAAATGTTATTATGGGAATAGTCGGGAAAGCCTCATTTATCCTCTCCAGATTCTTCAGGGTTCAAAATTACTGTCTCCTTTTACTAACCTTGTCTCTAAACTTGCTTAATTTTTTCAGACTCTTTTTTGTAAGGAAAGAATGCTTATCATATTGCTGTCCAACTCTGAATCTCTTCTATTTTAAGAAATAAATGTTGGCTAGTAATCTAGTGAGTAAATGCTATGGATGTATATAGTGAGAGTGTATTTTATATATTTATATGAGACAGAAATAGAATCATTCTTTAGATAGCCTAACATTATAACTTGCAACTATCATTTGCATTGACAAGATTCCCTCAGTAAGCTGTCTAAAGTTGCTTTTAAGTGAGTTGTATAGTTACCACAAAATGTCAAAACAACAGAGAATATTTTGAGCACATTACTTACTTTCATGCTCATAATACTACAGAAAATCTGTTTATTTTGTAACAATATTCAATAAGAAATTTCTGCGGCAGTAACTAGCTGCACTGATTGCCACCTGGCTCATTCCAGCTCTAATAGGGTGATCTCATAATCCCACAAATACCTTCAGGGCCTGTGTAACATCTCACTAATTTGATATAACATCCAAGTACTGAAATTTTGTTGAAACACTGATGTCCCAAGCCAATCTCATGCTTCTCAGAATATTACAACTGTAATACAGGAGTTTCCTGTTAGGCCAGACCTCTCTTGGTCTGCTATCTGGTACCATGTAAACCAGTACAGCCTGTTCTATGGTCAGGTTGTTGTCAACTAAACAAGCACTCCCACCTGTGCTAGCCTGGGTGAGGAGGGTGTGTGGACACCCAGCAGGACTGAAAACAAGACCTGTCAAAGGAGGATGAGCTTCCTGCAAGCCAACAACTATCCGTACCTGGAGAGGAGATGGGTGCCAGCAGGTCACTTTGCCCAATGAATAATCAATGATGCAAATCAACTCAATTAATCTCATACCAGATTGGTCGAGGCCTGCTACGACTGCATCCAAACAGAGTGCAGTGAAGAAGGGTTGTTACAGCATCTAAGGTGCTCCAACAATCGCAGCAGCCTTGGGACGGACTCAACTTGAATACAGGAGTTTGGCCTGTCTAACAAGATTCTTTGGGTAAATCCAGTATCTTTTATTAGACCAACTCTTATGGGCTCAGATCAAGCATAGACCTATGCTTGCCTGGCAAGAGAAACACCATGACTATGGAGGCGGTCCTTCCTAGTCACACTAGGGAAAACTGCTCTCCTGGCACAGGGATAGTACTTGCCAAGGTAATATATAATAAACCTCCCACTTAGCTGCTGGAGTGGGAAAGTCTTGGCTTTAAGCCCACTTTATGGAAATTGAAGTGTCCTCCCTGGCTTGCCCCTGAGGCCCTATGGCTGAGGGCAAGCAAAACTTGGGGGCATCTGAACCCCAAGCCTCTGGGCTTGGGCTTGCAAGTAGGATGCCCACCAAAGGTTTTGGAAACATCCGAAGTCCCAGGTGTGGGTGGAGGATGTTTGCTGGTAGTAGGGACACTTATGGATCTGGACTAATTCTTGAATTTGGAATATGTTTTGGCTAATTTGGCTTGGAATATGGAAAATTAACCCCCCCCCACAAATAGTTTGAAAAATTCTTCTTACCAAGCTTTTGGGCACAAATGCCCTTTTGTCAGACTGAGGAAGCATCTGCAGATGGTCTGTGTTCTTCCTGGATGGAGTGGTAAAGCAGCCAGAGACCAGTACTTTTATGCAAGAAAGGCAGTCAGTTAAATGTAAATTGAAGTGGTCAGTAGGTGGGAGACAGGTGGGAGGGGAAGGGGGAATGAATGTAGCTGTAGTGAAAGGATGGGAGACAGGAGGGTAGGGGGGAAGGGAATGAGAGTAGCTGGTAAAGTAGAGGGTTTACGTGGGGAGTCAGATGTTAGATTTGCCTGTCTGACAAATTCTCCAACAGAGCAAATATAACCAAGGTAACTAGCTGAGCCTTATGATGTAGGGCAGGATTAAAACTTTTGTAATAGCATAGCTTTCCATTCTAGATATTGTTCACATCTCCACCTCAGTTGTTAGTGTGATACATTCATATCCCAATCTAGGTTTTTTTGGTGATACTGTCACTGTGGACTTAGCAACTTTTACTGAGGGCAATTCTAAGGCTTCTAGCATGGCTTCCTTCCCTGGCACAACTAAATGTCACAGCTCTTATCAAGAGACTCACCAAGTTAACAGGTTCACAGAAGTTTAGGGTTAGAAGGGGCATTGGGTCCAGCCCTCCTACTCTGGGCAGGAAAGACTACTGGGGGCAATGTGGCAAGCAGCAGAGGGTGACCACTGGGCAATGACTGGCCACGCTGACCTCCCTGCTTCTGGACTGGGGGCTACGCAGTCTGCTCTGCTGTGTTTGAATCCATACACTGGGCCTGTGTGGTTTTAAGCTCTCCCTTTAGTCCCTGGGTCAGCCTCAGGCAGTGCCTCTGGCTCAGGCCTCCTTCTGGCACGTGCTCTAGACATGCATAAGAACACTGATATGGATTGCCATTTACCGGGTCAGACCAGAGGGCCATCCAGCCCAGTAGCCTTTGTCA